GGTCACAGAGTAGATGTGAATTTCGAGTAAGGCCAGGCCTTTTCCCATATCACATTCTTTGGTGGGATTGTCGATAAGGCAAACATATTTTTGTTATAACAATCGACTAGATCACTTATTTTTGGTATGAAAGTAGAGTTTTGAGAATACCAGTAAATCAGTAATATCAGATGTATTCACCCTATTTCGTTTAAGGTGATGAAGGAATGGTAGTAGAATTTTCCCGTTTGCTTCATCGACAATCCCACCAAAGAATGTGATATGAGAAAAGGCCTGGCCTTACTTGAAATTCACATCTACCCTGTGACCCAAAGGTACTCGTGACAATGTGGCCAAGTGGTTAACGTGTGAAGCTCTCATTCTGCACTGTCACGGTTCGACTCCCGCCGGAAATGTTGATAAGAATTTTTACGTGGTCGAAACTGCAGTCTATTGATGTCTGGAATGGAACAACTTTTGGGAATGCAAGGCTATGTGAAATTCAATGGAAAAGTCAGCTCTACTCATATCATTGTGGGAAAATTCTATATAATACCTTCATCAAATTAAACGAAATAGTGTGAATACATATTACATTCATGTCTTTGGTCTGTAATTGTGATGAGTCTGAAAATTTATTATTATTCCGGCTTATCACACATTCATCGAAGCCATAGGATAGTAAACCGAAAAATTCCTTGCCAGTCTTTACTACTCTGCAATCCTTCCTCAGTTTCTAGGAGAGCCATTTCACCTATTTTTTCCGACTAACTTTTCCTTCGAAATGGAAAGCAATGTCACAAGCTATTTGGCCTGTTGGCGAATTTATAGATGATAAAACTGGACAATAGGTTTACAGACTTATCCCTCTGGTTGTTATAATAATAGAAACTGGGCAAGTTCTTAATATTATTAGACTATTTGGATGAAAAAATAAGATTTGAAATGAAAGTGGAGGGAAACGGCTCGTTACCATTCATTCGCCCTGAGGAAACGCTTACGATAAGGCAATTCAGAACGAAATCCTATGCCGGAATAATAATAAATTTTCAGACTCACCATAATTACAGACCAAAGGCATGAATATAAGATGTATTAATCCTATTTAGTTTAAGGTGATGAAGGAATGGTAGTAGAATTTTCCCACAATGATAAAAGTAGAGCTGACTTTCCATTGAATTTCACATACCTTGTATCCCCAAAAGTTTTTCCATTCCAGGCACCAGTGGACTGCAGCTTCGACCTCGCAGAAGTCTTATCA